CTCTTCCTGGATCTCTTTTAATGATACATACATATTTTTTTCTTGTTCACGCATAAGCCACTCAGAGTCATTGAGGAGTTGGGTGGCCTCAAAATGGATAAACATTTAACAAAATAAATTGGAACTACATTCACACATAGTATTAAATATGGACATAATCAACTGAAGAAACTTCCATCACACAAGTTGTTGTGACTAAGTGAAGGCTGGAATAGATGTTCCATGATTTTATATGTCAAGCAGAGAAAACAATAAAGGCTAACTAGAAGAAGAAACAGGTGGTGATAACCCTTTTCCTCAGGGTGAAACCAAGACAACCCTTTGTCTATCTCTCTTCCTCATACAGTACATAATGTAACATAGATTCAATTAAGGAGTCCCCAGCTGATAATATCCTGGCTACAACTGCTGTAATCAGGTTTTAGATTCTTAGAGAAAATGCTACCTTAAGAGGGAAGGTGATGGATTAACAAGTAGTCAGTGGGAGCTTGCATCTCATTCCCATGCATCCCATGTCTAGGGTACCCTGGCTGTTCTATATATCACTCCCTTCACCCTAAAGTGACTAGAGTTAGGATTGTATAGCTCTACTAAGAACTGATTCATGTATCATCTTTCCCACAGCACTGCAAAAGTTTCTCACATCCAGTTTACAAAACCAGCTAGATCTGAACTGTGTCTTCTTTCCTTTCATTTCCTTTCCATTACTATTCTGATGCAATTGCCTGCTCCAAAGTGCATTACTCAACCATCTGTTGTTCTGCTAAATTGCTTCAGTGTGCAAAACGCTACTTTAGACAGCTGGTTGGGTTTGTCTGTTGGTAGCGCCAGTACCGACACTGTTATTTCATAGAATTCTCCTAGGTAAAATCACCCATCCTTTATACTTTGCTGAATTAAGACTGCAATCCCAACAGAAGACTGGAAAAATATCTAGATTTATACTGAGAGTGCTTATATACAGTAATTCCTACATTTCATTGCAACCTAAGATACCCTTGACTACCATTTTAATAGACTGCATTACCTTCAATGTATACATTCATGTTTTCTTTTCTTAGATAATGTATGCTTACATCTTTTGAGATAAAAAGAGAACTGAAAATAATTAGATGTATATTTCTAAATATAATCTTAAATAATGCACCAGAAATATACCGTATACCACAAATGCATATTTGGAGTAAAGTAAGCCACAATTTCACCCAATAAATCTTGTAAAGTACAGCATATTATCAATCTACTCTGGAAGACAGATGATGGATGGATAGCTATGTCTCAAATTCAGTTGCATCCCATTTCACATGCAAATATGTATATGTTTTATTTGTAGTTGTTAGTGATATTAAGGGAATTTAAATTATGAGTAATGTAACACACTGAGTTTGGGATGAAATTTCTATTAACAGTGCAGTGCTATACAAATTCAGTAAGCTTACTGAATGTGCTTTGGCCACATTTCCAATTAGATGCATATAGCAGAGGGCTCCAATCTTGGCAACTGTAGGATTTGTGGACTTCAACTCCCAGAATTCCCCAGCCAACATGGGGACTGAGTTGCCAAGGTTGGAGACCCCGCATATAGGATGGCCTTTTTCATCTGGATCTAATCTATTGAAAAGGGAAAGAAAAGAACTACAACAACAGACCAAACTCAATCCTTTTCAGTTCTTTGAAAGAATGTACATTGAACATAAAATTAATGTCGAATTGAATATACAATTAATGCTTACATTCTGTATAATATTTTTGCCCAGCTACAATTGCCTGTACTAAATACCATTTGGATTAACATAGTTTGGTGACTGTTACTTTGAACTGTGGTTCTCTTGCTGTTCTAGTTACTTTTAAATTATATTGCGAGGCATGCTGGACAAGTAAGAATTTTATTGCGGCACTTTTCTCCTGTTTTAAAGTAACTGAGGCAT